GGGGGGGGGGGGGGATAAAATAAAGACCCCTGACATAGAAACCTTAGACTAGGTCAAATTGCTATCAAAGGAGAAACCTGAGAACGAGAAAAAACCGGAATTCAGAACAAAAAGATGAATAAGATATCCATGTTTTTCATTTTCATGAGTGGTGCCTTACAAGTGACTAGCGAGTGTGCGACTTATTTATATTGCCAGTGTTTACAGGGACTATAAGCCTAATTTTTATTGGCCCTCCAACCAAAGATCTTCGATATTATTGATAAACTTTCAAGGGTACTGTCGTGAATCGGGAATTTTCATCTTTCTCATTTGGGGTCACTTGAAATTACGCTTACAGTTCCTTTAAAGCCTAGAATAGAAGATTGAAGAAATTAGTTTCCGACAAATTATGATTATAATTTCTTATTTCTTTTGACCCATGCACAGAGAATATATTCTTATTCTTTTCCATAAATTTATATATTTCTTTTTAAATTAAAATAAGCATGATTCCCCCATTTTATTCTCTCACTAAAAAAATCAAATATTTTATATCGCACCTGTTCAAATATTTTATATCGAACCTGTTCAAATATTTTATATCGCACCTGTTCAAATATTTTATATCGAACCTGTTCAAATATTTTATATCGAACCTGTTCACGAACCTGTTCAAATATTTTATATCGAACCTGTTCAAATATTTTGAATCGAACCTGTTCAAATATTTTATATGGAACCTGTTCACCTGTTCAAATATTTTATATCGAACCTGTTCAAATATTTTATATCGAACCTGTTCAAATATTTTATATCGAACCTGTTCAAATATTTTATATCGAACCTGTTCAAATATTCTAATATCGAACCTGTTCAAATATTTTATATCGAACATGTTCAAATATTTTATATCAAACCTTTTCAAATATTTTATATCGAACCTGTTCAAATATTTTATATCGAACCTGTTCAAATATTTTATATCGAACCTGTTCAAATATTTTATGTCGAACATGTTCAAATATTCTAATATCGAACCTGTTCAAATATTTTATATCGAACATGTTCAAATATTTTATATCAAACCTTTTCAAATATTTTATATCGAAACTGTTCAAATATTTTATATCGAACCTGTTCAAATATTTTATATCGAACCTGTTCAAATATTTCGTATCAAACCTGTTCAAAACATAACTTTACAGAATTTGAAGAGGATACATCGCTCTGTACTGCCAGATGACTCAACTAAACAGAGAAACAATAAGAAAAACTAAAATTTAAATTTATAAATTTTAAGAATTTAAAATACTGGAAAGAATTCAGCAAATTCCACTTGAGTCTGAAATTTGAAAATTCTCTTTTCATCTAAAGAATTCTATTAAATTATAGATTTAGATTCATTCGGAAAGAGTGAAAATTGAAATCCTCCTGGAATCTGTCCAACCTTCCAGGCAGGCTTGCAGCCCTATTTGCCACGACCAGGTGGGCCTGCATTCCCAGCTAGACTACCATGTCTAGCCAAACTCTCACTTAAATGTTCACCAACCTGTGACAAAGATTGTAGGGTTTGATTGCAGTTGTCTAGGTTTAGATCTGTCACAATTACTTGGGCGTTCTCACGAGATAATATCTAAATAGGTAATGTTACATCGTCTATACGCAATTTCTGACCTACAACCTTTCCGATCTACTGTAATATCGGACCTACCCCAGCTGTTTATTTTTGTATTATTTGAGGATTAGGTTAGGTTAGGTTAAAAGACAATTTCTGGACCCAGCGCTGTGGCTAGGACAGGCTAGGGGGCCGAGCGCTGCGGCCATAATTTCATTTAGCAGCTGTAAAACCACGTGCTAGTAGGTCGTATGTGTAGTATAGCGGATTTGTCGTAGGTCAGAAGTGAAGTATAGCGGATTTGCGTAGGTAGAAATATACAACACCTCTAAATACTTCATTTATGCGATATTTTAACATTTTTTATCATGTTTTTAATATTTACGCAAAATCTAAGATTGAAGGGAATGTAGGCGTAATTTCAAGTGACCCTCCATTGGTAGAGTGACGTGTCCGATTGACTTTAAACTTGAAAGGCCGACAATGTTGGAATTATCAATTTTCAGAATTACGCTTGTATTTGTTGAAACCTATACTTGCATGCTGTTTTATACAAATGTTAATATTTACTTTCTAGAAGTCAAAGAAAATATTTATTTTCTTTTTTTTACAATTTTTCAAAACCGCGATGGAATTACCCTGCAATTTTTTGTGGTATAACCATGAAACGTCAACTGTCCTGAGTTCACACTGTACGATTGCATACACTTCCGAATACGATATGGCAATTTGATCACTATTTGAGAGACGTAAGAGTTCACTATATCGCCAATTTTTATTTACGATTTTCGCAAAAAAATATAATTTAAAATTCAAATTACTTTTCTAAGGATTTATTTCCTAGGAGGCGTAGAAGTTCAAAGCTATATTTTTAAAATGAATCTTAGTAAATAAGTTTTCTGTTTTCTTTCAGAAGAAACGAGGTTTCAATAAATCCATCTTAAATCTGGAATTAAAATTCGTAGAATTTCTCTTTTTAAAATAGGTTTCAAAACTATTGTTGTATAGTGTATACTAATCTCTGTATAAATGTACAATGGTAAATGAACTGTAGACGTGATGCCAGCTCATTATACGGTTGTATAACTGATTCACAACAATACCCTTTGTTAGATCTAGAAAAAGTGCGATATCTTTTATTTTCTCAACTCAAAAATAACATCGATGTTGTTTTGTTCAATTGTGGTTTCCATTGTATATGTCTTAACAAAATTTATTGCAAAAACAAGCAAGTTATAAGATATTTTGTTTATTTTAAATGTTTGAGATTTTGAAGAAAAAAACATCTATAAAAAAAAGAATAAAGGTATAAATCAGTTTTAGCCAGTCGAAAAAATATTTTTTGTTTTGTTTCTTAAGATACAGGGTGTCCTAAGAAACATAACAAGGAAGACAATTTGAAAGTCGTCTTTGAATTCTAATTTATTTCTGACATTCAGTCGTCAACCCGCTTTGACATATATGATTCTCTAAACAATATCAGAAAAGTTCTCCTGGTCCTGGCATTTCTAAATGTGGTCTGTCTTTTTTGTGTTGTCAATATTACTGGAGATAATATGAATTTCGTTCAGATTTCAATTTTATTAAATAAACACCAAAATTGTCGAAATTTTAACAAAATTCTTCTTATCTCCAGTAATATTGAAAGCTGAAAAACGACAGACCACATTTTGGAAATGTTATGACTAGGAGTATTTTATGACTATTAACTACAGACTTTTAATTCTAAAATTTGGTTTATAAATTAAATACATAAATCATTTCTAAGATCAAAAACGACCTTCAAGACTTCATGCTATTGTCATGTTTCATGGGACGTAGCTTCACATTTACTAAAGAGTGAGTTGCAGTTGAAATCACGTGTACAGTCTCTTTAATTAAGCAACCATGAACCTGACAAACAGCTCGTCCAATTCCACGTCCTCCTCCAGTAACCAACGCTAATTTACCACTTAATCCCATTATATCTAAAATTTAAAGATATTTGTAACATATAGTAAAACCCTTTTATTTCTCAAACAGTAAGTCCAAATAACATAGGAATTAATGTGGGTCTGTCCTAGATAACGGTTTTTGGATACCCCCTGGGCTAGGGGGCCGAGCGCTGCGGCCACGGGTTAGGTTAAGTTAAGACACTTCCAAAAATCGTATACTAGGAAATTACCGAAACTTGAAATTCTGTTCGAAACGTAAAAAAGCTCTAAACATTTTCATCTGCTGGCCGTTGCACTAAGTAAACTTAACTATAAACTTTAAGGCACACATGACACAACTTTTGAACTTATTAACTTAACAAGCTACAAGTTGAGTTGCGTACATTCTCAATCATCTGTTTTGAGTGTACAGTTTGACCTTCAGCAACGTACACTGTAACCTTACAGTTCAGGCAAGTTTTAAGAAATAGCGACACAATTCAATATTGAATTCACTTGTTTCAAAAATGATCATGATAAAACACTATCTGTAATAATTTGCAATTTTCTGCAGAAGGAAGGTAAAGGGGGGCTGCTGGCTTACCGTTACCCTATGTGTGTCGAACATTTTTAAAGTGAAAGTTCAGTGATTAATTATTTCTGTATCGTATTGTATCTGTATCTGTATCTGTATATGTATCTGCATATATGTATCTGTATCTGTATCTGTATCTGTATCTGTATCTGTATCTGTATCTGTATCTGTATCTGTATCTGTATCTGTATCTAGTGTATCTGTATCTGTATTCACAGAACAGAGATATATTATCTTCTCTTTGCTTTTACCCTGCGGCGTCAAGTATAGTTCGTTCAAGAAAATATGGAAGTTAGATCAATAAAGGAGACTTAAGGTTGATTGTTACATTTTGATCCTTGCATTTATAATTTTAGCTCCTAAAAGATTATTTCCATTTGTGAGTTTTTTTATAAACATGATAATTCATCAATATATTTATTCAGGCTATCTAATTCACATACTCATGAGTATATTAAAATGCATAATTGTACAGAAAATAGTGAATTATTTAGTTAGAGATATCGTTTTTAGAATGGTAGAACAAAATGAAAGAAATAGCTAAAAAAAGTTTTTTTTTAAATGGCTTAACATACATTATTTTTATCAAACTATAAATTCTTTGATATACCCGAAATAATATGCAGTATATGAAACGGGATTTTGCAAATTTTAAGTTTATCATAAACTTTACTATTAATATATTTTATAAATAAATATGACCGTCAGGCTGCGCTCCCCTGGACCCTGTGAATGACCTAAAAAAAGAATGTCAGGTTTTTCCCCAAAGGCTTCTTTCTAACTGGCAACTACCCAAAGTCTATACTAGTCGTAGCGTTCGCCACACTAGCCGAGCGCTCAACGCCACTTGGGAAATTGTCACTTGGGCAATTGTCACTTAGGAAGTATAGCAATTAGGAAATTGCCTGCAGGGCAAGTACCTAATACCGAAGAAAGTTCTCTCAATTAAAAAAAAATAAATCATATATTTTTCTGCAGTAATAATTAAAACAGATATTAACAGCACATAAATACATTATACAATAAATATATGTAAAATCACTGCAGCAGGATGGCTGAGATAGCTTACAATTGTTTTTACAATTACAAAGCCCCCCCCCCTTAACTGTAATCCTTGGAATATTTATATTTTTTTAAATATGTTTAGTGATAAAGTGATAAACTGAAATAGTTGACAGACACGTAATTTTAGAAAAATTAAAGGGGCTTGTGTCGAAAAATTATCGATGGCGATCGCTACTAATCTTACTTCCTTCTTCCTATCTATTAACTTTTTGTCTATTAACAATTCCTGTCTATTAACTTCCTATCTATTAACTTCCTTCCATGTCTATAAACTTTCTGTATTATAACTTCCTGTTTATTAACTTCCTGTCTATTAACTTCCTGTCTATTAACTTTCTGTCTATTAATTTCCTATCTATTAACTTCCTGTCAATTAACTTTCTGTCTATTAACTTCCTGTCCATTAATTTCCTGTCTATTAACTTCCTGTCAATTAAGTTTCTGTCTATTAACTTCCTGTCTATTAACTTTCTGTCTATTAACTTCCGGTCTATTGACTTCCTGTCTATTAATTTCCTGTCTATTAACTTCCTGTCAATTAACTTTCTGGCTATTAACTTCCTGTATATTAACCTCCTGTCTATTTCCTGTTTATTAGCTTCCTGTCTTTGAATTTCCTGTCTGTTTATTTCCTATCTATTAACTTTTGTCTATTAAATTCCTGTCTATTAACTTTTGTCTATTAAATTCCTGTCTATTAACTTTCTGTCTTTTAATGTCCTACCATGGGTGTTGTCCTTTCCGTATACCCTCAGAGCGTCCGTTCTCCCAGGACAGTGTCCTTTTATCAGAAGATATCCGTCCTCCTGCCCAGAAATAGGGTGATCTATCTCCTACCATCTAGAGACAAGGAGAATTGAATAGAAGGAGGGGGCGATAGGGTTTCCGTACACTTTGCTGTGACGTTTTTAGACCACTGAAGAACTAGTTTTTACGTAACAACAATAACAAAGGCAGCCGATCTAATGTAAACAAACATGAGTTAGTTTACGGCGAATCTTCATCTAACGCTAGATATGCGCCAGATGTCTGTTTATCATTTGTGTTTACAATCTTTATTATTGTTGTCACGCAAAAACTAGTTCTTCAGCAGTCCAAAAACGTCACAGCAAAATGTACGGAAACCTTATCGCCCCCTCTTGTATTCAATTCTCCTTGGATTGGAGATATGCTCAACAATGAGCTGTAAAATGTGAAGTAACCGGGCCAACCTGTTTACAGACAGCTAGCTAGTTGTAAAGTATGAAACATATATTACTTGCTGAATTGGCCCAGCCTTGCCCGTATAAAAAACGAATTTATAAAAAAATGTTAAGAAAATAAATCAAATTGAAAAAGAATCTAATTTTTTAGCTTCTTTTCCCAACCATATCATAAACCATGAAAAAACATAAGATACATTGGGGAGGGGAGTTTGGGGGGGGGAGGCGGACATAAGACGGAGTAACCTGTTAATTCTTGTTTAAAAAGTGACACCTGACCTGACTAAAGAAATGATCAACTTTAGCTGAAGAATCCAGGGATATCATTCTCATTCCACGTTGTGAACAGTAGCTTTGGGCCTAGATAAATATATATAGAATATAGATAAATAGATTATTAGATTGATAGATAGATAGATATATAGATAGGTAGATAGATAGATAGATAGGTATATAGATAGATAGATAGATAGATAGATAGATAGATAGATAAATAGATAGATAGATAGATAGATAGATAGATAGATAGATAGATAGATAGATAGATAGATAGATAGATAGAAAGATAGATTAATAGATAGATAGATATTTAGATTAAAAGATAGATAGACAGATAGATAGATCTATAGATAGATAGATAGATAGATAGATAGATAGATAGATAGATAGATAGATAGATAGATTAATAGATAGATAGATATTTAGATTAAAAGATAGATAGACAGATAGATAGATCTTTAGATAGATAGATAGATAGATAGATAGATAGATAGATAGATAGATAGATAGATAGATAGATAGATATTTAGATAGATAGATAGATAGATAGATCTATACCTGGCCCCAAGAGAACCCGTTCTGCCCTTCCCTCCAGCTGAGTAAATAGTCTCTACCCTGCCATTGGTGATTCCCACGCCCGGAGCTGAAAATACATAATTGTAGTCTTGGATATCTAGTTTCATATACGACTTAGCTTTGTAACCCAGCTTTGCCAGGAAACTGAGATATCTAAAGAAAAGTCAAATAAAGATCTTGGGCGAATTGGTCAACGGCTTTATGGAGATACTTTTGTTACTTCTCAATTATTAGAGAAGTTACAAAAAATCATTGGTCTGAACGATTTTCTTTCTACTTTGGAATATTAAGATATGACTGGTTTTTCATAAGAAAACCGCAACCCTGCAGTGAATAAAGTTTTGAAATGTTTAAAAACTCAAAAAACTTTGTTGAGCCACCATAACTGATTAAATCCTATGACTTTGTTCAAAACAAATTTGTTTTTCAGATCTTCAAGATTTGAAGAAATCATCTGATTGTCATGGTGCGTACAATATTTAAGTTAACAAATTTACCTTGTCATTGCAATTACGCTTTATATTGTGCACTACTGTGTAAAGCTTGTACATTACTTTGTGATGCTAGGCTATACTTAACACCAAAATTACCTTAAATACTACAAAGGAACTCTACTATATACTCTTAAATTAGTTAACAAATTCTATTCATAAATGCTAATTTTAGCTTTGATCCTTTATTTGAAATCATGTCTTTAATTGTGATTTAGCTTTAAAAAATTAACTAAATCATTAAATTTTATTTGTTTGATAATTTAAATGTAAATTTAAATGTTTGTTTATAGATATTATGATTATTTAACTAACATTTCTATTTCTGCTACTACATATAATTCTAATTCTACTACCACTTCTACTACTTCTACTAATCCTACTTCTCTATATTATTACTATTAACATTCCTACTTCTACTGCTAATGCTACTACTACTTCTTTTACTACTACTATTGATTCCTATACAGATACTACTGCAAAAGTTACAAAGTACTTTATGCTATTATTTCTGCTAATTCTTTCACAAATACTGTTGCTACTGCTACAACTACTTTTAATGCTAATTTTACTACCTTTAATAATTCTATTAATTCCACCACAGATATTGCTGCTACAACTTTTGTTATTTCTGCTATATAAGCTGAGTAGTAGTTTGATAATCTGATTGCTTCCAAAATTCTCTTTATAGTACTTTTTAACAATCTAATCTGTTGAGGAGCAGGTTGAGAGATGATCTGATTGCTACTACTACTACTAATACTGCAAATATGTTAACTAACCTGAGCGTTGAGAAGCAGGTTGAGAGATGATCTGAATGCTACTACTACCACTAATACTGCAAATATGTTAACTAACCTGAGCGTTGAGAAGCAGGTTGTGAGATGATCTGAATTCTACTTCTACTACTACTTCTGCTTGCTTCTACTAATAGGTTTACTAACCAAGATTGTTGAGAAGTAGGTCAAGAGATGATCTGATTGCTACTACTACTACTACTACTACTGTCAATATGTTTAACTACTTAGATTGTTGAGGAGTAGGTTGAGAGATGATCTGATTGCTACTACAACCACTAATACTACAAATATGTTAACCAACCTGTGCCTTGAGAAGCAGGTTGTGAGATGATCTGAATTCTACTTCTACTACTACTTCTGCTTGCTTCTACTAATAGGTTTACTAACAAAGATTGTTAAGGAGCAGGTTGAGAGATGATCTGATTGCTACTACTCCCACTGCTACTGCTATTATGTTTAACTACCTAGATTGTTGAGGAGTAGGTTGAGAGATGATCTGAATGCTACTACTGCAACTACTACTGCAGTTATGTTTAACTACCTAGATTGTTGAGGAGTAGGTTGAGAGATGATCTGATTGCTCTACTAACACTAATACTGCTAATTAACTACCTAGATTGTTGAGGAGTAGGTTGAGAGATGATCTGATTGCTCTACTACCACTACTACTGCAGTTATGTTTAACTACCTAGGTTGTTGAGGAGTAAGTTGAGAGATGATCTGATTGCTACTACTACAACTACTACTGTTAATATGTTTAACTACCTGGATTGTTGAGGAGTAGGTTGAGAGATGATCTGATTGCTGTTACTACTACTTCTAATAATGTAATATGTTTAACTACCTAGATTGCTGAGGAGCAGGTTGAGAGATGATCTAATTGCTGTTAATACTACTACTACCACTACTACTGCTAATATCTTTAACTACCTAGATTGTTGAGGAGTAGGTCGAGAGATGATCTGATTGCTACTACTACCACTTACTAATATGTTTAACTACCTAGATTGTTGAGGAGTAGGTTGAGAGATGATCTGATTGCTGTTACCACTACTACTACTACTACTGCTGCTGCTCCTGAAATATCATTAAATTTATTTCAATTCAAGGTTTATTAGTTTATAAATCGATCTATAATTAAACAATTTCAGAAGTATTCAAAAGCTATTTGCTTTCATCAGAAAATCTTTCACAAACAAAAACATTAAGAAAAAAAATCTTTTCATCTTATTTATTTAATGACATTTATATTTCTCTCATTCGAAAAATGCTATATTTTCCATTTTTTCTTCTTTTTGCGATGATTTTCAGAAAATGTATATACAAGAATTGAACAACTTTTATATTTGGATAAAAAAATTTGCACAATATTAGCCCAGAAATGATTTCAAGTAGAGTAGACAGTTGTTTTTTTTAAAGAATTTCCATGACGTCACACTATTATTGGCATGACTCTGTGACCTCATCACTCCTCTATTGACAAGTAAAAGAAAATAAATTTGGTTACATCATGACCATCAAAACATGTTTTTTATTATCAATGTTATTCAATTAGAGGCATTGTGGTTTGTATCTTTGATAATTTTACTTTAATGTGATGTGACATTCAGTGATAACCAAAAAAGTCTGCATGGAAAAGGCCAATGGACATGAGGCACAGGAATTGTGCAGTGTCAACAGACTCATTTCACTAAATAAGTGATTCAATAACTTACTACATAAAGCTATTTGCTTTGTAACAGCAAATGCACTTCAGTATTTAATCAAATATGTACATTGTACATATTTTTTTATGCCTTTTATCCAACCCTTTTTGTTTTGTAAATTTAAACCTTTAAAAAGTATGTGGATCAAGAATGTAATGCAAGGAAAGTTAATTGCAGTTGTGTATACTCTGCGTACATATTGAAACCAGTTCTCTCTGGGCGGAATTTGTAAACAAGAATAGATGCATCAGTGTTCGTTTAGTATCCGAGGAGGTTAAAGCATTGAATTTTGATAATTTTGATAATTCACATAATAGTTTTCTATGACCAGAATATGTCATTGATTATTTATGTGAAAGATGGATCCCTTGTCAGGCTTCGACATCCGTCTTGTGTTTACATCACCGCCCAATGACAGTACACTGCAGTACAAAAGATGCGTACACCTCTGAATAACTTTCCTTGCATTAAATCCTTGATGTGGATTAGGTTAAAGGAACTTATATTCAAATGCAAAGCACCGTTGCTAAATACATTTTTAAATATGTGAATGTGAGACACATTTAGTTAAATTGAAAAAGAGTGCTGGGCTAAGAGTTAAAAATTGATTTTATAGGACTTCATCCAATCCTGTTTTAGGACATCATCCAACACTGCTTTAGAACATCAATTTATGAAGTTCCAGAAATTTTGCAGCTATTAATATTACGTAATAAAAAAAATATATTTCGACTTAAGAAGATTAGGTTACACCAAGGTTGTTAAATAAGGTCAGTTTTTCTTGATACGCTCCAATGTACGTAAAATGTCGTCTCCTAAGATAGATAGATAAAAACCTAATATGACCTTACTGATTATAGAGGCGAGAGTGACGTCATATTAGGTTTAATCTATCAATCATTTTCAGCACATCGAGAGTAACCTAGCTTATCGTACAACCGTGAGTTACACACAACTGATGAGACTTTTTCAATCTAATAATGGTTTCCACAGCTTTATTTCTTTTCTAAATCAAAAAATAGTTCTTTTAAAAAACAGTATTCAAGTCAGTTTAAGGTTGGGATAACATTTTAGATCTTTGTGTAGCACAGCTAGGTAACCCTGGGTATTACTATAAGTTTGTCAAGCTTTTTTTGCGGTTCTGAAAGAAACTGTCACTGTTTACAAAGGGACTTTCAAATACAGAGGAAGATATAGATTTTCTTTCTTGATTAGGTTTAAATTCTGTCAAATTCCTTCCTTTTTCTGCTTTTCTGCAATGTTAAATTAGCCTTTAATATATTATTGGAGGGTCATCATTAAATCATGTTTACACAATTAATTGTTGCAGGTTGTTCAAGTTTATCTCTGCAGTGTAAGCAGGTAGTTAAATGAGCCGTATAAAGGTCAACTACACCTTGTCATTTTTTGGGCATCTTGTAACATCCATAAGAAGGGAGACACCTAAAACTTTCAGTTAAAGGAAGGAAAATTACATATGTGTGTACATCATATGTACTATAAAGTGTCTTGAAAGTTGGAAGGGGGGGACTAGTCTACATATTGTGTAAAAATGTCTTAAAGTGGGGCTCCAAAGACTTTTGATTAAAGGACGGGCATTTGTGTGTATCTTTTACTTGTGTAAAAGGCATCAAAGACTTTTTATCAAAAGATGGACAACTATTTTAAAATAGGCAAGTTGATAAGACAAAAAACTTTGATAAAATCGGAGCTCGCACGGCAACGTCTTGTAAGCACTATCTTTGACGAATCCGGAAAATGGTTTTGTTACAGTTTCATATGTATTTAACTACAAATTAAGCCGTAGGCTACACTTCAGGCATTGGCCTGCAATGACCTGATTATTTTAGACATACCATTGAAATATCTAAGTATTTTGAATAAATGTATGTGTTATATCTATATCTACACAAACTGAGACTGATCTCGTTGATTACTGTATAGTTATACTAGCTTGGGAACCCAGCGCTGTCCATGTTACTAAAAGTTATTTCCGCCGTTTACCCGCACTTAAACGATTTTACCGGGCAACGAAATTTTCGCTATCAAAGTCGACAAACTCAACTTAGAATATCAAAACCAAGCTAAGCACATTTCCGTGGGTCTCCCAAGTTCCCCCGATCAAAATTTGAGACAAATCGGTCCAAGGGTTCCTGAGTTATGATCGGACAACCAAACAGATAGACAAACAGAGATTACAACTGTATAGATATGTTCTATATATATTATATATATGTTTATATATATGTACCATACATATAAAATCTATATATGGCTTGGGTGTCTGTTTGTTTGTATTAAATAAACGTCAAAACGGCTGAACCAATTGGGCCCAAATTTTTTGTGGGATCTTGCGTGACCCCAGGGAAAGTTTATGAATGATAAAAATCTAAAAATTTGTGCTTAAAAGTTTTTATCTATGTACAATTTTGTTTCGCTACTTAGCGATTTCCCTAAAGACCTAATATATTTACCTTGTTGTATTTCTCAGGATTGGATCGTAAGACTCCCTTCTCTCAACGCTCTTCATAATAAAAAGGA